TTGGTTTGGTGGAATAAACCCATTCCCTTGTTTGGTTTGACAAAAGCTGGATCACATTTTTATTTTCAGACAATAAACCCAAGAGATCACTAGAGAAGATTAATATCTATAACCTTCTTTGGAGAGCATCTCGCCATAGGTCAGAGAAGACTGATTCAAATAGAGAGAGGAAAAGAAGATTGATATTTACATTTTACAAGTTGAACATGCAACATGAAATATTGTGGACGAAAGACGTAAAAGAGTGCGGTTTAGAAACAACATGCTTTAGAATTTGATCATATATATATAAGGGTGTCCAAGCCTATGGCATAACAAGATATCTTTATTAGAAATATTGGTACACTTATTTGTGAACTATAACACGAAGAACCTTTTGGAGACTAAAAAAAGGGTACACCAAAATGAGAAGCCTTCTTACAGTAAGATGGAACAACAATATTAGTACTTGAAGAAGAAACTTTTAGAAAACGAAAAATTCAACATCTAATGTTGATCTTGATAATGGAATTCACCTTTCTAAAGTTCTTCATATACCAGACTTTAAACGCAACCTGTTTTTTGTTTCTAAATTCACTGCTTCTAACAATTGCTTTATTGTTTTCTATCTTGATTTTTGTCTCATTTAGGATCTTTGCAATGGCAAGTTGAAGGGGATTGGTAGACATAGCCATGGCCTATATTTTTTTGATTCAAACACGAAAATTTCATCCCTATTATCAAATATAGATCTATTAAATAAAAATGTTTGTAATGCATCTACTGTTTTACCTTCAAACAATAATGTACCTTTTGATGTTAAGTTGAATAAAACTTTGATTTCTCCATCTTTGTTTATGACTGCAAATTTATCTATTAGTCCTGAGTTGTGGCATCAATGTTTAGGACATGCTTCGTATTCAGTTTTGCAAATTATGCACCATAAGCTTAATATGTCTAATCCTCCACCTTGTGCTGTTTGCCTTTTAGCTAAACAAACCAAGACTCCTTTTCTACAATGTAACACCCACATCAAGGTACATAATTTTACTTATGCCCTAATACCCTTAGTTGGATTTCTTTGAAGTTACTTTAGACAAATGTGAAGAAAATTCCTTAAAACTTCATTAGGGGTAAAATGGTCATTTCACTCTTAATTAGATGAAAGAGTGGGGAGTGAAAAGAAATAGAATAACATGGAGAAGCTAATAAAAATGAGGGTATTTTAGTAATTGACTAAAGGAAATAGATGAAATTTCATAGAAAGTGCAAGGGCAAAATGGGAATACATGCTTATATTATTTGATATAAGGCTTTATTTGAAGAAACCCTAACATATTTCAGCCCTTGTGAACGCCACCTATACCGCATTTTCTCTCAATTTCCTTCACTAAATTTCAAAGGAAAATCATGGGATTTGGTTTGGATTTTTGGAGATTTTCAATCCTAAAGCATCCTAAGGTAAGATTCTAGCAAAAGAAGTGTGATTAAATTTTTAAGTTTTAAATTTTTATGGTTTTTATATGATCTAGGTCCAAAAGGAAGAGATTTAGAGCAAAAGGGAAGTGATCTCACATATTCAAGGTAAGTAAACCTAGTTTGAACCTTAATTTGAGCAAGACTTGTGTTGAATGAATTATTGCATGTTTGTATGTGATGATATGAGAGAGTTATTGGCTGTTTTTGATGTTTAATGATGTGTAATTTCCAGCCATGAGAAGTAGTGTATGGTTATGTGATGATTTAGTGAAGTTATGGAAGAATTAGTGTTGAAATTTTTGAAGTGTAGAGAATTGTTGAAAATGGATAGGTTTGATGCTATAATTAGTGAGATTTTGGCTCACAATTTGGTTGAATTAGAGAGTTGTGGAAGTGTAGCCAACATGGTAGTTGCATGTGCATATGAAGTGCTTGATGAGAATCCAAAGAGAAATTGCATGCATGAGTTGGCTAAACCCTAATAAAGAAAGGGTTAGAGAAAGGCAAGAATTGAAGTTTGATGATAATCAATGGAATTAGTTGTGTGATGGGTTTTTAATATATTGCATGTTTTCACAGGGGAGAATGATTAGTAAAGGTTAGGGAGTAAGTGGAGGTAAATAGGTATGGAAAAGCCTTAAAGTAGGCATGTTACCATGGTTGCCCTGTCAAATCCATGGCCTTCTGAGTGATTTTTGGGCATCTTACTATCGAACTGGGTTGAGACCTAAACATAAAAGTTGTAGCCCTTTCTTTAAGCTTTAAAATGAGACCAAGACCATAGCAATCCAATGTGTATAACTCGAGATATGCCTTCTTGAATATGATGTGTGTAGAATGATTATCTCAAAAGTGCTTCCACTTTATTAGTTTATTTGTGGTCTAATAATCTATGATTGATTCCAAGTATGAAAATGATGCTTAAAGGGTTGTGAAGCATGTTTGAATGAGTGGTCTTTGTGATTATTTAATGATTGTATGAACATATATATTTGATGTAATGAATGACTATGGAGGCTATGTGTAATATGTTATATATTACCTAAGTATGAGCTTGTGTATGTATAAACAAGCCTAAGGATGATATGTTTCTATGAATTTGTTATACATCCACGAAATTGTCATGATGAAATGATATGTTCATCGATGGAAAGTGTATGTTTTTAAAGAATGCAAGTGTAGAATTTCCGTAGCTTGGAAATTCATGTTGAAATGTGCATAGTATCTCTTTCTATTCTCTTCTACAACATACTATGATATAAGGTTTTTGCAATGGGAAACCCGTGAGTGACAGAGATGCCCACATACACGCCGCCACGAGCGAGCAACATCAGCAGAGAAATAGAGTATTTGTATAGTCCATAAGTAGTGTATGTGGATGAGGACTGTACCCAGTAGAGTATACCTACATGCATGCCGCCACAAGCAAGCAGCCACAGTAGAGAGATACAGTATTTGTACAGTCCGTGAGTAATGCATGTAGATGAGGACTGTACCTAGTCACATGGCTAGGGTTCCAAATCCATGCATCAACCTAGTCTGATCGGCAAACTAGAAAGACGAAAGAAAAGAAAGAGAAACAGAGAGAAAAGAAAGAGATACAACATAAGAGAAACAAAAACAGAAAAGAAAAGAAAGTTCCTTTCTCAGGAAAGTTTATTATTCTGCATATGTATTATGCTACTTACATGATTCAGTATTTTTATGTGCTCGACGATGTACAATTTTATTCATTGTCTTTGCACGTTGGTAAGTAGCAAATCAGAGTATCATAAAAAAATGCAGAATATCAGAAAAGAAAGCAGAATACCAGAAAGGAATGAAGAATATTAGCAAAGAATAAAGTGAGAAAAGGAAAATCAGAACATGAGTAACGGAGGAAGAACAGTCGTGCAGTTTGGTTTACTTACTGAGCAATTAGTGCTCACTTTGTTATTTTACTATTTTACAAGTACTAGATGATTTACGACCGGTGGGACGTCAAGAAGCGGAGGAGTTTGGTGGCACTGTTCAAGATTACCTTGTGCTTACTAAAGTATATCAGTATTTTGTGTATATATTTATATGAATTAAAAATTAGAATTTTTGGATTTTACATTATGTATATATGTTTATAAAAGTTATTTAGTGGATTTTATCTTATATTTCTCAAAGAATTACTAGCTATACAGTGTATTACATCATAGCAATTCCCAATCCAGTGCTGTTTTTGATCTATTGCATATGGATGTTTGGGGTCCATATAGGACCCCAACTCATGGTAATGCTAGGTATTTCCTCATTGTTGTAGATGATCACTCTAGAGTTACTTGGCTTTTCTTAATGCAATTCAAATCTTATTCTTTTGCCACCATACAACATTTCCTTCAAATGGTACAAACTCAATACCATTTAACCCTTAAATGTGTTAGGACTGATAATGGCCTTGAGTTTTTTAACAAGGATTGTCATACTTTATTCACTAGCAAATGCATTATACACCAAAGTTCTTGTGCCTATTCCGTTCAACAAAATGGAGTTGTTGAGAGGAAACATAGACATATCCTGCAAGTAGCTAGGGCCTTAAAATTGCAATCAAATGTTCCAACTCATCTATGGGGATACTGTGTACAAACAATAGTGTACCTTATGAATCGTTTTCCTACATCTGTCCTTCACAGTTTATCACCATTTGCAATTTTTTTTTTTTTGGAAAACCTCCTGTTTTGGATCATTTTAAAGTATTTGGCTATCTGGCTTATGCTACTGTCCTCACTTCTAAGGATAAACTGTCCCCAAGGTCTGTTCCTTGTGTTTTCTTAGGTTATTCTCTAATCCAAAAGGGTTATTTGCTTTACAATTTGTCTGCACCTACTGTTACTGTCTCTCAGGATGTTCTTTTCTATGAATCTATATTCCGCTTTACCTGGTCTCAAACATCACAACTTCTTTTTCTAGTTGACACTTCTTTCCTTGACTTGGAGTCAATTTCATCTCCTGTAATTCCTTCCCATACCGATGTTGTCCAGATCACAGAACCTTCTCCTTCTTTAGTTGCTTAGCCTGCTATACCTTCCCCCACTTCTCCTTTTTTTGATATAAACTCTTTACCTCAGCCTGTTAGGAGATCTATTAGAGTTTCCAAACCTCCCATTTGGACCTTAGACTTTATTTGCCCTTCTCTTTCCAATCCTTCAGCTAACCATATTTCCCACTTTCCTTATCCCATTTCCAACTTTGTTACTTATACACATATTTCACCTACTTACAAAGCCTATTTGTCCCAACAATCATTAGTAGAACCTAATAGTTTTTCTCAGTCTTCTAGGGATCCAAATTGGGTGGCTACTATGTAGCAAGAAATTAAGGCCTTGGAGCTCAATAATATTTGGTCCATAGTCCCTCTCCCTCCTGGAAAAGTTCCTATCAGTTGCAAGTGGGTATACAAACTCAAATACAAGGCTAATGGTTCTTCGGAAAGGCATAAGGCTCGGTTGGTTGCTAAGGGATATACTCAGCAGGCTGGTATAGATTATGCTAAGACTTTTTCCCTGGTTGTAAAAATGGTTACTGTTAAGACCATTTTATCATTGGCTTCCTTGCATGATTGGCCCTTTAATCAACTAGATGTTGACAATGCCTCTCTTCAAAGGGATTTACAAGAGGAAATTTACATGTCTTTGCCTCAAGGATTTGCTCAGCAGGGGTGGGGGGGTAGCACATTGTTTGTAGGCTTCAAAAATCCCTCTATGGATTGAAGCAGACTTCTAGAGCCTAGAACTTTAAGCTTACACAATCTCTTCTTACTGGAGGTTTCAATCAATCTAAGGCAGATTATTCCTTGTTCATTAAGAGGGCAGATTCTTGTATTGTCATACTCTTAGTATATGTTGATGATATAGTACTTACTGGAAACAATGTTAATATGATTAATCAAACCAAGAAAATGTTGCATTCTAATTTTCGATTGAAGGATTTGGGGATGTTGAGATATTTTTTGGGTTTTGAGGTTGCTAGATCTGTCAAGGAAATCAGTTTATACCAAAGGAAATATGCATTAGAGCTCATTTCAGAATCTGGTTTATCTGGTTCTAAGCCTTCTTCAGTCCTTATGGAATCAAATTTGAAGCTCACCTCTACTGCATATGATGCCTTATTTCCCACTACAAATGATCCTCTTCTTTCAGACCCATGTGTTTATCAGAGATTGGTGGGAAAATTGTTGTATTTGTGTATGACTCAACCTGATTTAAGTTACTCTGTCAACTTACTCAATCAGTTTATGCATCATCCTAAAAAGTCTCATATGGGAGCTGCACTTAAGATAGTTAAATATATTAAGTCAGCTCCAGGTTTGGGGTTGTTTTTTCCTACTGAAAACAATTTGAATCTATCGACCTTTTGTGATTCTGATTGGGGCTCTTGCCTCATGACAAAGAAATCGATTACAGGTTATTGTATATTTCTTGGTAAATCTTTGATCTCTTGGAAATCTAATAGACAAGCAACTATGTCTAAATCCTTTTCTGAAGCTGAGTATCAGGTGATGGCTTCTATTGTATGTGAGGTTATGTGGTTGGTGCAATTACTTATAGAACTGGGGTTTCCAAAGTTGATTCCTGTCCCACTTCATTGTGACAATCAGGTTGCGAATCACATTGCCTCAAATCCCATGTTTCATGAAAGGACAAAACATGTTGACATAGACTGCCACATTGTCCGGGAACAGCTCAAACTTGGCTTGATTCAGACTGCTTATGTGCCTTCTTTGGAGCAGCCTGCTGATCTGCTAACCAAAGCTCTTGGCAGCACTCTTCACTCCAAATTGTTACACAAGTTGGGGTTCTTGATGTCTATCACCCTCCAACTTGGGGGGAGGGGGCGCGCCGGGTGGGGGTGTTAATTGTATAAGTTGTACAATTAATTGTGGCTTAGTTTATACAGATAAGTAGTTTGATTAGTTGGGTAGTTAGCTGATTAGTTGACTTTATTGTAACTAGAGTTATTTGTTAACTCAAGCAAGTTGTATGGTTAATGATCGTAGTGTATAAGCAGTCCGCAATAAGAAAAGTAGAACAGTATGTTCCCCAATTTCTTTCTTCTTCATTGCTCTCAATTTCTCCAACAATTAGCTGACCATAACTTACAGGGTCAACTTGATTACTCTCTCTCTCTTTCTCTTAACACCTTAACCTTGAGTTGCAAGAGTATCCTAAGACAAGGAAAACTGATCTATTAGGAGTCTAAGACTACTAAACAGAAAGAATAAACTCATCTTTACATAAAGCAGATCCATTTTCTAAATGGCTGCAGCTCAATATCTTTATTTGTGGGTAGTCTTCAATTTATCATTGTTCTTGGCCTTGGCTAAAGAAGAAAACCAGTTCATCTACCATGGTTTCAACAACTCGAAACTGCAACTGGGTGGCTTGGCAAAGATTCTTCCCAATGGTCTATTGCGGCTCACAAACACTTCTGAGCTTGAAAGCGGTTATGCTTTCTACCCTTCTCCTTTCAAATTCAACTCATCTTCCTCTCAAACCCTTTCGTTTTCCACAACTTTCGTGTTTGCCATGGTTTCAAAAGCAGTTAATTTTGGAGGCAATGGCTTGGCTTTTTTCATCTCACCGTCTATGAACTTCACTGGCGCTGTCGCAGGTGCATATTTGGGGCTCTTCAATCTTACAAACAACGGCCAGCCTACCAACCACATCTTGGCGGTTGAGCTTGATACAGTAGAAAGCCCTGAATTTTATGACATAGATGGAAACCATGTTGGAATTGATGTGAACAGCCTCATCTCTAATCAGTCTGCTACAGCAAGTTACTTTTCCAATAAAGAAGAAAAGAACGAAACTTTGGAGTTAGGAAGTGGAAAACCAAACCAGATTTGGATAGACTATGATGGAACAGAAAAATTATTCAATGTAACAATAGCTCCACTGAAAATTCCAAAACCAAACAGGTCTCTGCTCTCAAAACATCTCGATCTTTCCGAAGTTCTATTGGAGTCTATGTATGTTGGTCTCTCTGCAGCAACTGGTACGCGGATAAGTGATCACTATATTCTCGGATGGAGCTTCAACAAAAGTGGACCAGCACAAAACCTTGATGTTTCAAAGCTTCCTCCTCCTCCTCCACCTGAGAAAACCAGTGAGGGCCTAGATCGAACTATTACTGTTTTGCTTGTGGCAATAGCGGTTGTGCTGATAACAGTTGGTGTAGCTATTTACATTGTGAGGAAGAAGAAATATGAAGAAGTATATGAGGACTGGGAAAAAGAATATGGTCCCCATAGGCTCTCCTATAAGAAGCTCTACAAAGCAACCAAAGGTTTCAAAGAAAAAGAGTTTATTGGTCAAGGAGGTTTTGGACAGGTGTACAGAGGTGTTCTTCCTTCTAATGTACAAATCGCAGTCAAGAGAATCAACCATAACTCAAACGAAGGGATGAAGCAATTTGTGGCCGAGATTGTGAGCATGAGAAGGCTAAGGCATAGGAATTTGGTTCAACTCCGGGGCTATTGCAGGCGTAGGGGGGAACTTCTATTGGTCTATGATTATATGCCTAATGGAAGCCTTGACAAAATCTTATATGTCGATACAAAAGCAAACCTTAATTGGTTTCAGAGATTCCGGATTCTCAGAGGAGTAGCTTCGGGCCTTCTTTATCTCCATGAAGAGTGGGAACAGGTTGTTCTGCATAGAGACATAAAAGCTGCCAACGTTCTTTTAGATGCCGATCTGAACGGAAAGTTAGGAGATTTTGGGCTTGCTAGATTACATGATCATGGTAGCAATGCACAAACCACCAGCCTGGTAGGAACTGTTGGTTATCTGGCTCCAGAGCTGCTTCAGACTGGAAAGGCAACTACTAGCACTGATGTATTTGCTTTTGGAGCTTTTATGCTTGAGGTTGCTTGTGGAAGGAGGCCTATAGAGCCTGGCATGGTAGATTTGGCTGCTTGGGTCATTGATTGCTGGAAAAGAGGAGCAATTCTAGGTGTTAGTGACCCTAGATTGGAAGGTATGTATGTGGAAGAGCAAATGGAGTTGGTTCTTAAACTTGGCCTCCTTTGTTCACACTCTAACCCCGAAACTAGGCCTAGCATGAAGCAGGTGACACAGTATCTGGATGGTGAAGCAAAATTGCCAAGTATAACACCAGAGAGCGCTGTGATAGGGGCAATAACAGCGAGGAATGAAGTTCCTGATATTGTTTTCTCATTTGATTCGTTGCCTGAAAGTACTTCTTCCCACACCTTGTCCAGTGTTGATTCAATCCTAGTGCTGGGCCGCTGAATCAAGAGTTTTATGCAATAGCTGCGTCCTTTGGACATGTTATGGTTGGAGGATACAGAGAATAAAGATTCTGAAATACTCTGTTTCTCTAACTTGTGAATTTGTAAAACTGGTACTACTTGTATCGCTATTGACTTGACTTGTTATTCTGTAAGATAATCTTGTTTTGCTGGCTAATAAACATTGATTCTAGTTTAGTTTAGCTTTTAACAGAAACCCAGAATGTGTATGTCTCCATATCATGATCAAAATAGCAAGCTGTGATATATAACCCATGAAAATGCTGTAGCCACATGGCTTAGAGTCAAGAAATAACTGTGTTGTAGGGTTTAAACAAAGGGCATCAGATTAATTTAAAAAGTTTCCCGCACCAGTCTCCACTTTTTGTCTCTTTTCATATATTATTCATTTAACAATATTTTTCCCTAAACGTGTTGAATGGTGATACCATGCTGGAAATGAAGAAGTTGGCAGAAAAATTTGAACCGCATGTTTTACCGCCGTTTGGTCTCTCACTGTTCATGCAGTTTTTGGGTCACTGTTATGGATTGGTTCAGTGATGTGTTCAGGTGTATTAGGTTTGGTTAAATGTAATTTTACCTATGCCTGTACGTGTATTAGTTGGTGTATTGTGTTTAAATTTGAAATTTGTAATTCCATTAGGTGAAACAGTGACGGGTGTTTTGTATAAGTTTATCCCTGTTTTTTGAATAAAAAACAGAGCATTATTTTCCAGTCTTGGTTCTCTTTCTTTCACCTGTTTCTCTTCTTTGTTTTCATGCAAAGCCAACAAAACGTATTGGTTTATTCAGCCAAGTTAAAAATATAAATCTGAAGTCCAAAATAATGTATATATGTGTAGTTCCAACTTCCAGCAGGGGAGATATTTGCATTAACTTTAGATAATAGAAGGCATTCATCTTTGGAAGTTCAACCTAGAGAGGTAAAGGGTACTTGACTTTCCAAATGTTGACTCGAAACTATAGTTTTAAGAAAAATGCAGCTACAAGAACTTCCATTTTCTTTCATCTAACGCATGTGAGCTAAGTTGGCATTCATTAACTATTATCTGGTGCCGGCAGGTTTTACTTTCAGGTAACACTTCCACGGTTCCACCATGCAACACTCTGTTTCTCTCTATAATCGATGTCTACTTGCATTGTTAACTTCCCTTCTAGGATTTCAAATGAAAACTAATTAAGGGTCATGAGTTTCCGGTATTTTCTTGCAATATTCTGTTTAATATATATATCTTGGGTTTCGGAAAGCCACTACACTGACTAAAAACTTAGCATTTGTCGGAAGATGATCAGTTACTCTCCAATCCTTCTCACAGTGGCCTGTCTACAAACCTCGTCTTTTGGGTTGGGTTTGACACTGTACATGTTGGAGTTGTCGACTACTTCAGCATTAATGGGTAACGGAGACGCACTCGGGGGTCCCGCTGCCCGGTCAGCGGGCGGGTGCCCCGCTCCCCGGTGAGCGGGCGGGGGTCGCGGGGGCAGCGCCCCCGAGCCCGTAGGCGGTTTTGGGCTTTTCCATGTATAACCGCTGTAGGATTCCTTTTAAGTTATTAATTCCTTTTTGGGTTGGGCTTAGGAATAGGAATTCTTGTAAAACTAGGTTTAATCCCTTAAACCTAGTATATAAACATACTTTTCTCTTGTTATGGGAGTGAGAACAATTCATTCATTGTAAACGAGAGAGGTGAGGCATATTGCAAATAATATTGACTCAGCTGGACGTAGCCTACATTGGGTGAATCAGGGTAAATCGCGCGTATTACATTCTTTGTTTACTGTTTGTTTTGTTTAACTATTATTATTTTGTTCCTGTTGCTTCTCTATTTCGTTCAGTACAAAGCCCTGATTTCCTGAAAATGATGCATTAGTTTAATAAAGATGGCAGTTACAAGCTTTGTGGAAATTTTTTATTACTTGTATGTTTGACTTGCCTACATTCTTTAAAAAATGAAAGCTTCATTGCTGGGTTGAGGAGACTATGAAATTTAAGTTGATGCCAGCAATTGTGACAAGTTCCATGGCTCTTGTTATAATATTACAGGTTATATTTATATGACAATGATTGTTGAGTATATGACTACTGCAAATACTGGTTAATATTATCTTCTGCCGGTGAGGTATTGGCAGAAGAAGAAATACGAAGAATTATGTGAAGACTGGGAAAGACATTATGGTCCTCATAGGTTCTCCTATAAGAATCTCTACAAAGCAACCAAAGGTTTCAATGACAAAGAGCTTATTGGAGAAGGAGGATTCGGTAAGGTTTACCGAGGTGTACTTCCTTCTTCCAATGAACAAATTGCAGTCAAGAAAGTCTCCCATGATTCCAAACAAGGGATGTCAGAATTTGTGGCCGAGATAGTCAGCATGGGAAGGCTAAGACATAGGAACTTGGTACAACTCCGTGGCTACTGCAGGAGAAGACAGGAACTTATATTAGTCTATGATTATATGGCTCACGGAAGTCTTGATAAAATGTTATATAGCGATACAAGACCAGGCCTTAATTGGTTTCAGCGATTTCGAATTCTCAGAGGAATAGCTTCTGGCCTTCTCTACCTTCATGAAGATTGGGAGCAAGTTGTTCTGCATAGAGATATAAAGCCTGGTAATATTCTTTTAGATGTTGACTTAAGTGGAAAATTAGGGGATTTCGGCCTTGCTAGGTTCTATGATCATGGTAGCAATCCAAAAACCACAAACCTGATAGGAACTTTGTGTTATCTGGCTCCAGAGCTTCTTAGGATTGGAAAGGCTACTACTGTTAGTGTTTTTGTAAATGCCGGTTGTCCAAAGAAAAGAGAGAGAGTGAATAAAAACTGGACTGCTTTTCATTAGACAGAAAACTGAATATAACATGCTGTTGTTTAATGTTCCAACTACTGTCAGAACTTTCACTTAATCTCAGCTAAACCACTCACTTCCAACAACTTCAAACAACTTCATTACAAAATAAGCTGAGTCAACTAATTCAAAATTAACACTAAAATATAAAAGCTACTGAACTTGGAACAGCACCATGCATGTCCATCCACAGCAGCAAAACAGCTTCAACTTACAACAAATCTTACTTCCAGCACAGCACCAATCTTCAACACTCCACCTTGGTGCTTTGGCTGGAAACACCAAGTTTTAGCCTAAAGGCTTCAAACTTGGATTTGCACAATGCCTTTGTCATTATGTCAGCAACCTGATCTTCCCCTCTATAGTGCACTAAGGTTACTTCCCCACTCTGTTCAGCTTCCCTAACAGCATGATACTTGATCTTAATATGCTTAGTTCTGCCGTGGAGTACAGGATTCTTTGCCATTGCCACAGCTGACTGGTTATCACATAGGATCAGCGTAGGACCACCCTGCACTTGGTGCAAGTCATCCAACATTTTCCTCAGCCACACAGCCTGGTTCACTGCTACTGCAGCAGAGACATATTCAGCTTCAACAGTAGACTGTGCCACGGTCTCTTGCTTCCTTGATAGCCAACTGATTGCACCCTTATTCAGATAAAACACATAACCAGAAGTGCTTCTTGCATCATCCAGGGATCCAGCCCAATCATTGTCAGTGTACCCCAACAATTTCAGACTTTCAACTTTCTTAAAACAGATGCCTAACATGATGGTTTCCTTTACATATCTCAACACACGTTTTGCAGCCTTAAGATGCAATTCACTTGGGTTGCTCATAAACCTTGAGAGATAACTTGCTGTGAACATAAGGTCAGGTCTGGTGGCTGTATAATACAGCAGACTTCCCACTAAGCTTCTTTATTTCCCTTCATTAACCCTCTTTGCACCATCTGTTTTGCTTAATTTCAGGTTGGGAACCAGAGGAGTATTCACTGGTTTGCAATTCTCCATTCCAAACCTTAAGAGAAGCTCGGTTGCATACCTTTGTTGACACACAAAAATCTCTCCATCATCCTGAGTTATCTCCATGTTAAGAAAGTACTTCATCAATCCCAAATCTGTCATTTCAAATTCAGCTTGCATATCTAACTTGAACTGGTCCAATTCATCAGGATTACTCCCTGTCACCAATAAGTCATCAACATAGAGGGAAACCACAACCACTCCTTTCTCAGTTTTCCTAATGTAGAGAGTGTGTTCATTAGGACTTCTAGTGTATCCAAGGCTGCACAAATGATCATTTATTCGGCTGTACTGACAGGCTATTCGCAAGTGTACGAAATCGTGCAAATAGTAAAACTCGAGTAAACGAGTGTCGAATCCCAAGGGAACTACCTACCAAGTACCATACTATTATATTCTATTGCTATTTGATTAAACTGAAGTTTAAGAATGAATTTAATGAAAAAGTAAATAAACTAACAACTAAAAATTAAGTACTGAATAAAAGTAGAACTTGTAAACACTTTGAAGTAAAAATCAATATGACTAAACCTAGGGCACAGATTTCACACCAATTTAATCCTATGCATTGACAATTATTGCTAACCCAATTAAGCTTATTCTAAAAGCCAAACTCTCTAATATTCCACTAACTTTCTCTCGAACAATTAGCGAATTAACCCTTTAGCAACAACCCAAAATATCTCTAAGTTGAATTTAGAAGCTAAGAGATCATTAAGTTCTATGGAATTTACCAGAGCCTCACAGATCGCGGTAACCTATCTCTAGCGTTCCCTCAATCTATGGTTTTATTACCTTGGACAAATTAGGTTTTATCTCTCGATCTCAACCCAACCCATGATATCATTCAACTCTCGGATCCTTAAGAATTGAAAGCATTATGCACAATAATAAAACTTAGAATTAAATCCTTAATAAGAATTAACAACAAATTAAATCAACACATATTCATAAATTGGGCTACATCTTTAGCCCTAGAAAGAGAATTAGTTCATAAATACAGTAATGAAAACCACCATGATATAGAATAACATGAGTTCAAGAACGGAAAATAGAAACACTTCTCTAATTTGTGAACGAGAATCGCAAGAATTCCGATCTTCAAAGTAGTGGCCGTCCTTTTTCCTTCTTCAAATCCCCCTAAAAACTAATTAAAAATCCTTATTTATAGTCTAGGGTTTTCAAGTTACTTAGGAAAAGAATTAAAATCCTTAACCCACTCAAATTCGGATTAGGAGAATGCAATAACCCAAATAGGCCCGAGACCCATCGCTGCGGCGATGAGAAACGATCGCTGTGGCGATCATTCTTTCTGTCCCCAGAGTCCGTGAACTTCAGAATTTGGTAAAGTCATCAACATGAACTTTGTAGCTCTTTGACTAAGCTTTCCAACGCCACCAGAATCGTCAATTT